AGCAGATTCAGCAGCTACAGTAAGACGTATGGCTGGCCAGCAAAGCGGATCAGCGGCTTTTCGCTGATATATATATGTACAGACATACATATATATTTATATAAATATATATGCGTTGGCAGACTCCGACTTGGAGTTCATCAACTGCGAAACCTTGTCGCCAGCAGCCGCAGCAAACGTGTTCCCCACGAAAGTTGTTAATGCTGTTGGCTCTGACTCCCTGGCCAAGACATAGGACTAGAGCAGCAGCACAGTAGCTATGGCAGCTACATAAGCTGCTGCTCTATCGGTCAGTAGCTATGGTCCGGCCGGAATCTTAAGCTGGATCTATATCTGGGCCTCATTGCTGGCTGCTTTGCTCCGATCGTGTGTAATTGAGCGACTGCCACAGTTGCTGACAATTGTTAATGTATCTCCCTCTCTCTCTCTCTCTCGCTCTCTCACTGCGTATATATGACGTATTTTTATGACCGTAATTGCTTGAACGTTTTCAGTTTGTTTTCTCTTTCGCTTTATGTTTGCTTTTAATTATCAAATCATCACATGATCATTACCAAACTGACAATATGGAAACGATGAAGCTGATGATGATGTTGATGATGCTATTGCTACTCTTGTTGCTGTTGTTGTTGTTGTTGTCGCTGTTGCTGTCTCTCATTTCCCTTTTTATTGGCCATTTATTGTTGTTTTTGTTGCTGTTTAAAGCAATTAATTTTTACATTTCAATTTTGTTGTCATACTTTTTCCCCCCTCCGCCCCATCTTTACTTACACTTTGTTTATTTGCCCAACACTTTTTGGCTTTGCATTAAAGCCAAATGCATTTGCAATTAAATGAAAATTTAATTTATATTTTTAAAGCCATCAATTTGGCCAAATGAATGCATTAAAATATGAAATTCTTTTGTGTTATTGATTATGGCAGGCGTTAAAAATGTGAATAATGAAAAACCGGAATAGCAATTTGGATAATGTGGAAGCGAGTACATGGGATACGGGATAGATAATATATAAAAATGCAAATAGATATTATTTATTAGCTTTACGAAAATATTAGTATTAATTAAAAAATTGTATATATATATTGATATTAAAATGTGACTTCTATATCTGTATTATTTCGTCATCTAAATCTATATCTGTATACTACATCTTGATATGCAATCACCCACGTTTTAGAAAGCTTTCGAGTCATTGTGTTGCTAATTGATTTGTACGTATAGACATTTGTATAGTATAGTCATACCGGTCGTGCTTTCTATTGTTGTTGCATTTTTGGCTGTCAGCATTAATAGGACTTGCTTGCAATTTGCCTAGGCTGAGATTACATTTTCGTTTTTGCCTTTAATCAATTCCAGCTCTAGAGCTAATAGACACAATCTCTGCTATGCACTAATCGAAATGCAGCCCTTTTACCCGACTATCGATGGAGCACAGCGCTATAAATCAGAAAATAAAATGCTTCATTGTTATCGCAACGAAATTTACTTTTTCAGCCAGACTCAGAGCCGCAGAGCGCAAAGCCCGGCGCCGGGCCTCGGAGCCTTTCACCTTTCAAATTCAATTAACTGCAAGCAAATGGCAAAGCCAATCACCCAAATTTGTAAAACGAATTGCAAAGCGTGGGATGCTCTTCCCGTTGTTGTTTTAGTTGATGTTGTTTTTATTATTACTGCCGTTGTTGTTGTTGTTCTTGTTGTTGTTGTGGATGCTGCTACACAAATATTTGCCATCAACATTTTTGTACGCTAATTTTCTTGGTAAATTTCGAGCTGACATCACGCACGCAGCGCATAAAGAGTGGGTATAGATGAACGAGGGGAAGACCTACCGGGGCTTCGATAGACATTTCAAAATAAAAAACCAAATTGTTGCAGTTGAGCACACACACACACACACACACAGAGAGAGAGAGCGGCAGGCACTGGGAAGAAGCTCAAGCTGAAATTTCGTCACATATTTTTGCGTAAATTGCCGGAAAATCGCAAATCATGGGAGATAAACATCGAAGAAGTCAAGAAATGAACAGAAGAGGCCAACAGGCAGAGGGTCGAACCGAGCGGATGGATGGATGCTGAACCAAATATCGAACAATGTTAAGCAAACACTTAAACACACACACACACACTCGCACAGCTATGCCGAGATGTGCTTCCGCTTGCGCAAGAAATGAAGGCAAACCGAAAAAAAAAAAAAAAAAAATGGGGGAAAAATGCAGGACGCAAAAAAAAAAAATGGCAGATCAAACAGACAAAGCGTCTGGCGGTTGGCGGCTCAGTTCTGCGGTGTTGCCGCCTGTTGTCGAAGTCAATGATGCCAATAAGCGGTGCGCGAGGTAACACGGGCCAGAGGCAGCCGTGGAGGCTGGGGCTGGCAAAGAGGTCGCCCCGAACTGCATGAATCGAATGCAGTGTAAAACGTTTTCGCTACGCTTGAATTGAATTGCCAAGGGGCTGCAACCAGCAGCCAGATCCACAGCAGACAGCACAGTAACCGTCGCCGTCGTCGCCGCCGCCGCCGCCGTCGTCGTCGTCGTCGTCATCATCTTCATTTCCGCAACTTTGGCTGGCAAATCTCGGCGTCACAATTCGCTGGCTTTCCAGCCCTCACTTACCAGCTCTGTTGCCTCGGACTAATCTTTTGCGTGGCGCTGTTGATTCTTGTCGGCGCTGTCGGCACGTGGTGCTGTCTGACACTACTTAGAGCAACAAAGTTGAATGTTAAATCAAAATTATAAGAGCTACACATATATACTTTAGTTAGGGCAGGCCCTATACATAGCCTGTCAATAGCTGTCAAAAATACAGATGGAAGGAAAATGAAATACTAAGAGCTGTACTTTGTATATATATGAAATAACATAGCTTCAATCGATATTTATCGATTTTGTGATAATTAATAGTTGATAGGCTGAGATAGATATAGATATATATAGATATATAGATGGACGAAGTAATGGATAATGGACAGTAGACATATATCTATTACAACATAATCTTAACTCTACTGATAGTTAGAGAGATGGAAATCGCTAGATGTGAATGGATAGTCAGATAAGACGAGCTAAGCAGCAACAAGTTATTCTATTAGAAAGAGACTAGACGTCATCGAATAGACAGATTAAGAGTCAAATATCAAATTAAAATCTCTGTCTCTTATATATAATGCTATGCTTTGGCCTGTTCACACAGTTGAACAGACTCTGTTCTTAGCCACTCTAAAATCCAGCTCGCCGTTAAAAGGCCAGATTGGCATCACTATGCCGCCCTTTGCCTTTTGGGTTACGAGTTTTCTTAGCGCTTGTCAGACATTTGCTCCAATCACGCCGTTTTTTCAGGACTCTGATCAAATTCTGATTTTCTTTGGTGTCGCCTCTGCTCAACTCCGTTTTTATATACATATACATATACATATACATATATATCTCATCGAATTTGCAAATTATTTGGTAAGCAGCTGTTTTTTCTTCTACTTCTTCCTTTTAGCTTTTCGTTTCGCTTCATGGACCACAGTGGGATTTTAATTCGTATTTAGACGCAGCTGCTAAGCAAAATCTTTGCTGTATCTAGTCGGCGACGTTGTTGTTGTTGTTCGTTGCTGTTGCTTGTTGCTGTTTTCCAGCTCACTTCACTTGAGTTGATCTTCTAAGCAGTCGACTCGCGCGGCCTCTCTTTGGTTGTGCTGGCCATAAAATTGAATTTAGTTTGATTGCATTTGATTGTAGCTTATCAGATCAGCAACGGCAACAACAAAAACAACAACAACAGTGACTACGATTTATGCATCGTTAACTTTTTAGTGCAATTGCACACACACACACACATACACGCACACAGAGAGAGACTGACAGTTGAAACGCTAAGCATTTGCATAATGCGCTCGCTGCGTCTGCCAAAAGGGACTCGCTTTGAATTTAATTTAATTTTAATTAAGTTTTTGCCTAGACGCCATGCAACATTGTGGCTGCCACGTCTTGTGCTGCAGCGCTGATGAACTGCGGACATAAGCCGCAGCCCATGTGAGCAATGTATTCCAAGACTTGACGCTAAGGCCTTGGGCCCTGCCGACTGCCAACTGCCTGACTGCCATCTGCCTGACTGCTGATGTTGGCTGCCATTAGAAAAACTCTCACTTTGGTCTATTAATGATAATTCACACGGCAGCCTCAAGTGCTTTGTGGTGAAAATTATGCCGCGTTAATTGCACCTGTTTCAAGGCAAACGCAATTTGGCCTGCCTTTGCCCGCTGAGCCATTAAACTGGCTGCTGCGCCCTGCACCACTGCACCACACTCCCTCCACCCTCCCTCCCTCTATCAAGCCAAGCAATTGCAACTGCATCTTAAATCTCAATCTGAATCTCAATTTAAATCCAAGTCTGGCCATGACGTGCTGCGGCGTTTTCTAATTGTTGAGTGTTTTACACAAGATTTGCACAGTTCGCTGCACAATTAAAAGCTGTCAAAATTTTCCAACAGCCCACGCCCCACACCGCACGCCCCTCGAACCATTGTGTGTGTGTTTCTGGCCCATCAGCTTTGGAGATTTGAAATCTCGAAATGCCTTTTGATTGTCGCTGACTGCTCTCGGCACCAATTTTAAAATCATTTTCACACACGAATGCATTTCGCATTTCACAATTCGAATTTCGCATATTTCAACCCCCCTCTCCCTCCACCGCTCCCGGAAATGTTTTTGGAGCGCGGCCAGCCACCCACGCGATAATGAACCCGCCAATAGGCGTGAAATCAAGCAAACTTTGTTTATCTTTCCCCAAAAAAAAAAAAAAAAAAAAAAAAAGAGAAATAATCGTTTGCGTGTGCAAAGATTAAAATGTGCTGCACAAAACGTGCGCAAAGCTGCGAAGCATTTCCAAAAAAAAGATAAATAAATAAATAAAATAAATATATATATAAATAAATTGATATTGTAATCTCAACTATATCGACTGCCTACACAGCAATAATAATGATATATTATTTTGTTTCATTATTCCGTTACAGCCAAATGCACTCCGTTCACAGCAGCGAGCCGAAAAATCTCTGAGGTAAGCAACAAATTGCAATATTCTCACGTAATACCCATGTTTTCCGCTGCACAGCAGCATTATAGCGCCTTAGCAGCTAATTATATGTGATTATCGAAATAGTTTTATTTGATTACTATGACTAAATGCAGGAGGAGGAGTGGGCAGCATTAACTACACTCAAAGGAGTTGGAAACTGTAATTTAGTGATTTATTTTATGATACAAACGGTGTGTCTAGACGAAATGGAACATTTGTAATATAATACCAGATTGGTTTGACTCGAAAGAAAAATTAAAATATAAACGTAATTATTATTAAAATTTTTTTTAAATTAATTTCAATTTAACAAATAAAGTTGTTAAAGACAAGACTTGATATTTTGGTACTCTATACGATTTTTACCCCGTTTTTCGCCGAGTGTACGCTCAACTTCATTTAAAGACTTCATTAAGGTCTGATGTACTCAGCTTTAGTAATTGTCTTTAAGTCGCTATGATGTCTGGGTCATAAAGACTTATACTAATAGTATAATAATAAAAATACACAAGTCATTAGGGCTTAATAGTTGGGCCAAAGTACTTTGGGTCACTCGAGTGGAGCGCATATTGATTTGGTCAGCTTTCACAGCTTCCTATTTTGGAGTGTTATCAAAGTTGACGCTGCGGTTAGCCATGAGCTACATAATAATTAACGCTGAGCATAAAGTTCATTGCGTTTGAGGTGCCACAGAGAGGGCGACGGCGGCGGGACTGTGGGAGGTAGGTGTTGAGCGTCCGGCGCAGACCGCAAGGCCAATCAAAGCGTCATTGAAACGGAAACGGAAACTGCAAGTCAAATGACATTCGGCCGCAGGAAATGAAGCGCCGAATTGGTCAAGAGAGTGGCAAAGAGGCCGCAAATTAACGCTCAGCGTCTCACTCAAAGAATTCAGCGCTGCTGCTTCTTCGCTTTTCGCTACAAATCTCTGATGAATTATTAAAAATGATCAGAGCCGAAAAGAAAAATATCAGCCATGGCCCGGAACGGGGAACTGGAGCAAGTTTGTCACTGTCGCTGTTGCTGTTGTTGTTGTTGTTGTTGCTGTTGTTGCACTGGCTGCAGTTGCAGCTTGTGGCTTGAATGAGCGCTCAAATGAACACCGCAATGAATGTGCGCCGCATGACAAATACGTAAAGTTTCTTTTGAAATTAAGCAGCATTTGCTGCCAATTCTTAACTACATCAGCGGCAAACTTTGTCCTCATCCGGCACGCTGTGTCTCGCACTCAACGAGTTTTTCAACGCAATACCCTATTGTGTGTAACTTAAGAGAGGGTATATTGAAGTCAGTACAAGATTGTAGGTAGAAGATTATAAGTATAAGAGTATAGTATTAGACTGAGTATAAATATAATTAGAAGACTCTGTATATAGAAGACTCAGACCAATTCCTTTTGATATTTCCCTTCGATTAAAGACAACTATATCCATAGGTTGTGAGAGGGTATATAAAAGTCAGTGTCAATGTTTAAGTATAAGAATGAGTATAAGTATAATCAGAAGACCAATTCGATTTGATATTTCTCTCCGATTGAGGACAACCATATCCAGCTACCTAGGTAAGCGGTATCTCTTAATCGTTCACACTGTGAACCTGAATTACTTTTGTGTTTCTTTTGGCTTACCATTGCTAGCACTTTTTGCCAGCACTCAGCTCTCAGCTCCCAGCTCTTGGCTGCTGCAGGTCCAGGGCCAAGCCGAAGCGCTTGCTCATTTCAAACTTTTGACACAGAAACTAATTTTGGCAAGCGGGTGCTGCCAAGCGAGCAGCCGAGCAGCCGAGCAGCTCCTGGAACCTAGCTACTGGCCCCTGCTGCCTGGTAGCTCCTGGTGGCTGGTTTGCTGTTGCTGTCCGGGTTTTTGCCATCGTCTTCTGCTGTGCATTTAGTGGCTTTTCATTCTTTTGCTGATTGCAATATTTCATTGCCTTTGCGGTTCGTGTGTTGCATACTTTCCAGCGACGCTGAGGTTTGCCTTAATTAATTGCCCAGCCCGCTCTGCCGCTCAAACAGCACCGAAATCGCAGCGATTGCTGCAGTTGTTCCTTAGTTTCACTACCCTACTCTGCCCACTTCATCTACCTCCTGCTGCAATCGCCATTGTCGCCAGACAGCTGCATTTTTCGCATGCCGCCTGCATTTTAAAGTGCTTCGCCATCGAATGGCACTTTAATTGCCATTTGATTTGATTTACGTCGCCTTGATGATGCCGCTACATTCCTCCCCATCGCCTCTAGTATACAATTAACGCGTAGCCAGCTGAAAGAGGCGTGGCATACCCCACTGGGCTGAGCCTTGACCCAACAAATTTATCGAAGCGCACGGCCATCAAATCAGCGTGTCTAAACTTTGCATATCAAATTTCTCTGATTTACAGCATTTTGATGATGCGTTAAGTGAGTAAGTGTGTGAGTAAACGTGTGTGTGTGTGTATGTCTCGATGCTGGCAAATAAATTCCACTGCATTGACCAATTGAAACTGACAGTTGAGCAACGAGTTCAAGGCAATAGAAAAAGTAAGCACTTCTCAAAATATGCGAAGGAAATAAAGAAATTTATAGCCAACATCTCACACACTCAGTCAGGTAAATAAAAGGTATTTAAAGCTGAAACATGAAATAAAAAACAATAAAAGCTTATTTCCTGTTTCCTCAGAGCAAAAGTTAAGCACCGCACCTGTAAATAAATGTTATATTCTGAAAGCAACAAGCTCACAAATTGATAAACATTTAAAATCCATATAAGCCACTTTTGTTTTATATTATTTTCTCTGAAATGGCAACATTTGGATCAACTTTTTAATACCCTACATATACTAGAGGTGCGATAGGTAAGCGGGTATATTGTTATTTAAGAACGACTGAAACTCGCTGAGACAGCTAAAGAGTGTTGTAGCAAATATATCAGTCGCTGCAGCTACAAAAGTTCATTAATTATATTAATTTTATAATTATAATAAATTATATTCCACGAATTTATTTATCTAAAGAATGATCCAGCTACTCATTCAATTATATTAATAAAAAATAAATAACAGGGTATATGCTAGTCCATCACAGTTTATAGACAGTTTTCTTTCTTGCACTTTTCACCTATACAAATTCATTCAGAAATGTTTTAATTTCATTCAGCTCTCAACAAACTTTCAATCTGCTAAGCACACACACACCCACATATATACACACCTACACACACACACACACACACACACACCATGCATACACGTAGCATACGTAAGGCAAATGCAAACAATTTTCTTTGAAATTAAACCATTAAATGAGGCCAAAAGGCAAAGCCTGGGATATGAATATTCTGTTGATTCTGTTTTGCAATCATATTTGGCCTCTGTCCGTGTGTGTGTGTGAGTGTGTGTGCCCGATACGGTAACCTGGTGTGGAGCTGCATGGCATTGGCTTCCAGTTTATGCATATAAACTGCCTCAATCAAAGCACCAGCCACGCCCAGCTCGCCCCCCCCTTTCCACTTCCACAAGCGAGCGTGTCTTAAATACAATTAATGAAAATTTTATTGTACTTTCGAAGAGTTTTATGCGATTTTGACAGAGGAGGGAGGGGAGAGTAGCAGCCGCATCGAACGATGACCAAATGAGTGCAACAAAATTTTCGCACAAATTGAGATGCGCTTCTTTCAAAGTCAATTAGCAATTTGCAAATACACGATGGTAAAAACTAGGAAAAGGCAAATTAAATAGCGCCTCGCATGGCAACAAATTTCACCCAAGCCAAGTTAATAATGCAAATGGAAACTGGCTATGGAAATGCCAAATGTGAAATACGAATTTTGCATGGCAACGGTAGCTGCATCCACACACATACACACGCAACACACACACACACATACAGAGATAAATGAAGCAATGGGCTAAAGAGCTGATTTCATTTCATTCGCAATTTAACTCTTGCGCTTATTTGTCTGTCGAATGCAAACGCTTTTTGGAGTTTTCTCTACTCGAGGGTATTTCGATAATAATATCAAAGACGATGAGTATGAGAGAAGTTTAGTTGGATAGAGAGCAATGCTGATGTAGCTTGATTTTATTTGAAATTTATAAGCATAGAGGTCAATTGACTAGAGTTTGTATCACAGAAATTCTTGTTTGAATTTTATATGTCTATGAAGATGATGCAGTTGTGCTACAGAAAAGTCCTGCTTTTGGATTTCTTCTTTGTATGAGCTCCCTATTTTTCTTATATCCCAACTACATTAGATGGTAGAAACTTTTCATTCACTTACATTTTCATCCAAGTTGAAATCATCACTTAACAGCTTTAGATATATTAATATAATAATCGACAAACATTTCTTTTTGAGGGTATTACATTCTCGTCGTGTAGCTACATTTTTCGCCTTTTTTATCTTTGCTCTACCCGCTCAAATTTCTGCAATTACCGTTGCAAGCAGAGCGCGTAGCTAAGAGGAAGGGGGCGAGCAAACAGCTGAGCAGAGCAGCAATTGCATTTTCAATATTTTCAGCAGCAGCAGCAGCAGCAATGGAGGCAGAGGCAGAGGCAGAGGCAGCATCATCATTTTTTTGTACGTTTTGTCCAGATTCTTGTGTACTACGTCTATAAATTTTTAACTACAAGCTCTTGAATGCAATTACTTTTCAATCTTTTTGCCCTTCACAGACTCTCAGACACAGACGTAGACGTTGCGTGAGTGTGTGTGCTTACATATATATATATATATAGTTGAGCGCGAAAATTGCTTATTTCAACATTGAAGTTACCCAAGTTGCGCCAGATTTAAAAAGGAAAAGTTTGCCATAATTTTGCCAGAGGTATATCACTTGATGTTGTTGCTTCTCTTCTTCATTTTTTTTTTCGTCGCTCGACTATTTATTTTGTGCGAAAAAGTAGGTTGAAGTTTGTTTTATTTGATCTAGAAATTGACATGATTGTTTATGCAGAAAGCAGACAAACAAAAAAAAAGAGATGGAAAATTGCAATAAAAAACAAAAGTAAATATGAAAAAGTTGTGCGACACTTGCCATTCATCCATATTTTCTTCTGCCTTCTCGCGCAGATAGTTATAAAAGTTTATCTGCTGATTTAGGAGTCGGAGAACGGAAAACGGAAAACTAGCCGTGTCATACTACGCTAAGTGCGAAGGAAAGCACATTAATCTAAAGGCTTACAGAGCTTAGCGAAAGCCAAGCTCTGGGCGTTAAAAAAAAAGAAAAAAATAAACTGAATCGAAATCTGGCCGAGCCGAGAATTCGGCAATAGTCGAACAGCTTTGCGATCATTAATGAAAAACGAGTTGGCAGCTGCTGCCAGCCAGCCAAAACGGACTAGAAACTAATCCTGGTTACCCTTTCGCCAGGACTGCATGCAACTGCTTGTCGAGGCTTGTTCCACAGCTGCTTGGGAAACCACCCAGTGGGATGCTGGCTGCATCTGTATAATCTTTTTATAGGGCAAGCGATTTTTTTCTTCTTTTTTGACTATTGCTAGCTGGCCGGGCGGGTGGATTAGCGATCGGATTAAGAATGAACATGTTTGCAAAATACGGCAATTTTATGACGCACAAGCAGATTAAGAATGAATTGTTTTTTATTGCGGCACAAGTCAAAAGTGCAATAGCGGAACAGGTAGAGCGTGCCCAGGTAAGGGTTCACACGGACTGACCTAAAAAAGGACCCGACTACAGGTAGTTCACACGCCGGGCAATGGTATAAAAAGTCGAGCAGTCGCTGCAAATGGCATCAAACGCAAAGCAAACTGTGTTGAGGCAACAACTGTCGGAGCAACAGGAGCAGCAAACGATTCAATTGACAATATCTCTACATCGAGCACAATCAGCAGAACAGAGCAACATGTCTCGCTATCAGCAACTTGCCAACGAGAGAAGCAGCCGCCAGCAGGGGCAGCAGATGTACTACCCCCAGCCGCCCAGTGTGGGCTACCATCTCTACTTGTATCGGGAGCAGCTGGCCAGAAAGAATGTGGAGTACATGCGTCTATCGAAGGCCAAGTACTTCATCACCGAAACGCTGCTGGCCAAGACGGTGCGCAACTTGAAAGCCTGCAGCCTGGACGAGCTGAAGACCGTGAACAATCAGATTGTGTTCAAGCACAAGCTCAAGCATCAGATCTACCGCCTACGAAAGCTGCAAAATCTGGGCATTAGGAATGCCAATCCGCAGATGGAGAGCACTGAGCTCTAGGGCAACGAACGCAAGATCTATCCTAAGTTAGTTTTTAGTGGCGGGCACTGCATGTAATGTAAAACTATCGAATAAGTTCTTAGCTGGTAAATGATTTTAACTGTTGAATGAGCTTTTAATATAACTAAAAGTCATACCTAATAGTTGTAGGCAATTAAAGAAACGATTCAATTTAAATGCATATGGAAATGTCTCTTGTATTTTTGGCTTAAATAAATCTGACATATTTGACCGCCACGCAAAACCAGTCGCACCACCCACACTACTCTATTACACCTCTCTTTCACTTTCCCTCTCTCTTCCTCAACCCGAGGCTGAGGCCATTTCGGCGGCGGCTAATTGAGTTGCCCAACGTTTTGACATGTGTCAAATGAAAGTCGCACAACTGCCAAGAAATTACAATTCAACTTGCGCAGCGTGCCAGCCAGCTATCAGGCAAGCCAGCCAACCACCTAACCACCCAACCACCCAACCAACCACCAAACCACCTAACTGCCTGACAGCCTATTTGCTACTTTATTTATGCATAAACTTCTCTGCTTTGCACTTTTGCAGCCAAACAGCAAACAGATTTGTGACTTACCCAACACATAAGCATAGATGCACATGTAAAGTGGGCGTGGCGCACAGCTAAAAAGTAAAATGTACAAACATTTTATTGTTTTCTTAATTAAAATTTCATCTCCAACTGCAGCATTTTTTGTTTAAAACAAAAAATAATACAAATTGTATGTAAATTAAATTCTTGAATAAGATTTTTCATTTGTTGCTCTCTTTCTCTTTCACTCTTCAATTAACATATTAGCTAGCATAGCCTAGCGGCAATTCGGGTTCAAGCTTCGATTCGATTCAATTATTCAGAAAACTCTTCATTTTTATTACAATTTGAATGCAGGTAATGAAACGTCAAGGCAAACAATTTTATACTGCCATCTCTCTCTCTCTCTCTCTCTCTCTCTCTCTCCCTCTCTCTCTCGTTCACACACTCTTTAAGCAAGTAGAGTGGAATCGCATTTTCAATCCGCCATAATCCCAATCAAGAAATCATATATTTTTTGATGCGAAATCAATATTTAATGAAAATATGAAAAGCTGAAATTGATGTGTTAAATCAATTTGGTAATTCGTAATTCTTTTTACACTGCAATTAAATTTTTTGGCAAAGTGCTTTACACTTAACTTAACGCCAACATAATTATTTACACTTGAATAATATTCATAAAATACCTGCACCACCCACAGTGCATATGTGTATTTGTGTGCATGTAAACATGCGGCATAATAAATAAATGTGGTGCACATTATGTGGGGCCGGTAAGTCGATTTTATTATTGAAAATTGCCTGCGATAAACGGTTCAAAGAGCAAGGGCATGTATACATAATGGATGTGCGTGCATATGTGTGTGTGTGTGCTGATTGCTTAATTGTCAATACACACATGCACACACATACATACGTACACAACTGCCAGCAATTACTGCAATTTGCAAAACACTCAAAAGTATGCTATGAAAAATGTTGCACACATTAAATTTTCCACACAATCAATTTCTTGACACACACGCACACACACAACGTCTACCGTAGGCGCTGAAGGACATATGTTAATTTCTATAAAATATATTTATTTATGCAACTACAGACACACACACACACACACAGAGCTTAATCGCTTAAACTTCCTGCTGTCAATTATGATGCATATGAAGTGCTGTTTGTGTCCCAAGTTTTTTCAAGTGTAAGCAATCGCATTTGCAATATAAAGCAGATGCCTCTCACATTGTGCTGCCAACGACTCGACAATTTGCGGCTCTGCTCGGTCAGAGTTGCTTTGCATAACTCTTAAAAACGATTTGCGATGATTTAGGTAGAATTTTTGCATCACGATTTTTTTTCTCCATAGAAATTGGACTTAATGCTCTATTGAATCAGAATTGAAAATATGTTCAATTCGAGAGCAGCTTCAATGCAAGTTCCCTTTCCTGGCTTATACCTTAAATTTCGCCTACAATACTTAATTTGACTTGGCTTCTGCAGCTTGCAGTTTAAGCCTTGCTTTGATCATCAATCAGTCCGTCTTTCACATGCTAAGCATAGTTTTTCTAGCCCGACATAGTTTTCAATTTGCTAAGTCGTAAACTGAAAGCGACAGCTGCGCCTTGGTCGTCGAGTCGATTAGTGCGCTTCATTATGAACATCATTTTCATTATGTTTATTATGAGAAGCTACGCCCAGCCAGCCAGCCCAGCCCCGCCCACGGTTGGTGGCTTCTACAAACAGTTTGTGTTGCTTGTGCCTTGTGCTTGTGCTTGTGCCTTGTGTTGGTCGGCGTCCTTGCCGAGCGGTTTCAAGTTAATGCAATAAATAAAATTTCAACTGCACCGCCGGGCCTGTTTAGCCGCATGAAAAGCGACAGTAAGCCCTGCCTGCATAAGAAGTTGCCTGTTTATCTTAGACCGGGCCTGCCTTTTGTTTGCCTGCCCCGGACTCCAGGACTCTGTCGGTCTGCCCTCCCCCAATCTCTGACCCGTTTCTATGGCTACCGACCTGGCTGTTTTCTTTTAGCAAAAGTAAAAAAAGAAAGCCAAGGAGATGGTAAACTTGTGGGAGGCGCCCAGCCAGAAGGCCTGGTTGGTTAGCACAGTTGCTTGGCTTAGCTGGGCTTGCCCTGCCTTGCCTTGGCTGGGCTTGCTTGGCCGGCTGCTCTAATGAGTTTACAAAAAGTTTTGCTTTAACAAATGCGAGGGTGGCCGGCCAGCTGCTGGCTGCCCAGCATGTTATACAAATTGCAGGAGCCCGGCAAAACTGTCATCAACGTGTCCGAAACGTGTGCAGAAGCTGAGACGGTGCCCGAGCAAGAGGCGATGCGATGCTGTCATCTATTTGCTTAGCCCATACCCATTTGTGGGTGAGGTTGCATTGTACCTGTTTACCATGCAACTAGCAGACGACTGACTCCGGCGACTATATAGCAAAACTTTTTCGACATTTATGTGCAGCCAGAATATGCATTTTAATTAGTTTAGCAAAGTTGTTGCCTTTCTCTGCCCAGGCTTGGCCCCGTTTCTCGCCTCTGCGTCGGCGTCTGGTTAATTACACAAATTTAATGGCTGCTCTAGCAAATGTTGCTGTTAGAGTTGCTGCTGCTGCTGCTGCTGCTGCTGCTGCTGCTGCTGATGTTGCCGTTGCTTCTATTGCTGCTGCATTTGTCACTGCGCTTTAATGTGTGTTGCATGCTGCAAAGTTTTGCATGCCTACGAGCTGCAGCCGCAAAACTTGTTAACATTTCACAAAGCAGCAAATTCAATTAGTTGCATGTAGACAACTAAGAACAACTGCAAGTCCCTGCCTGCCTGCCTGACTGTCCAACACACTGGAGCAACTAGTTGCTGAGGGAATTGGGGGTATATAGAGCTGCATTCAATTGAAGGCTTAGCCTATTGAAATTTGAGTTTAGATTATGTTAGAGTGGGGTATGCGTAGAGCTCTCTTTAAGGTGGACAGCATGGTAGTCTAGTCTATCGGCCAAATTAATTTATTTACTCTAGCTTCTAAGACTCTATTCAATTTGGGACTGAATCTGTATATGAAAGCCATCGTGCTATGATTGCCTAGCTTGTGATGATAAGATATCTATATATTAGGATGAGGTGAAGCACTTTGAGGCCTTTCATAATAGAAGATATATACGATAGAATATTCAAAGAGACGTTAGTTCTTTAAAAGTGATCAATTTTAAGGATACTACGATGATGAGATGTTCACAGTTTTAATAAGAAGAAGAGACGCCATACGATTTATTCATAAATAAGCAAGAAAAGCTGCTCACAGCTGTAACAATTGTTCATACTTAATATACCCTTTCACACATAATAAACAGAGCATAACATACCCTCGCTCTCTCTCGCCCACTTTCTTTTACCCTGTCTCTACCGTATTCTCTCCCTCTCTCTCTCTTACTCCGTCTGTCTCTTTCTATCCCTGCTGTCTTCGGCTTGCATTCATTTAACTAAATTACTTAAAGTTGCTGCTGGAGCTGCAGCAACTGCTGGGCACTAACTGCATCTAGCTGTGATAAATCTTTGTCGTCCCAGCGTTAGCAATTTACTTAACAATTTTCGTCTAAGCGTATAAATTAATATGTCCAAGCATAAATCTGTTGACTGTTTGTGGGCGCTGCAGCAGACACTTGATGCAACAGCAGCCGGAGCGAGACAAAAAGTGCCAGCAACAAAAGCTTATTAGAATTTTCAATAAATTAATTTCAATATAAATAAAGTGCAACATGTCCTTCCTCCTTCTCTCTCTCTCTCTCTCTCTCTCTCTCTCTCTCTCTCTCTGTATCTCTCTCTCTCTCTGTCTTGTATCACTCTGTCAATCTGCCAGCTTGGGCGGCAGTTCATCTTCGTCTTCATTTTCATTTTCAGTTTCAGATGTGCCCCAGTTCTGTGTCCTTTCACGTTGCACACGTCAGCGTGCGGCGCTCTCTTTAAGCAGCTGCTGCACATTTCACTCAGCGCTTCCGACTCCTCCGACTGCTCATCCCCATGCGCCATCTCGACTTACTTGGCCTGAGCCGTGTTTAGCTGCTAGCGAGTTGAGCGCCCCAAAGCGGCGATTATGTCGTCGACTTGCTACATGCTCCACGCCACACGCAACCCCCGCGCCCCCGCCCATCGCTCACCTGTCCGTTAGCTGCTACACATTCGACGCTTCGCTCCTGCTGCGCTCATTGCTCAGCCAATTTTTCTTGCTGAATAAATTAAGATGCTCTGCAAAGCGGCTAAATTAAATTGTTAATTTGTATACCCTGTAAGTGGAAGGGATGGGAATGGGAGGTGCTGCTGAGCTATAGATGAAATATATGTAGACTAGAAATATATGTATGTACATATATAATCTCCTATTGCAGAACAACAAGTAATACATATATTTGTATAAATTTATTTCCTGCTTGTTGTCAGCCTTTCACAATTCATACAGAGCATTCGCCTCTCCATCAGCTTAATCTCTTCAATGCTTACTTGCTTTACAGCTGCTGCTGTTGCTTATTCACAGTGCGTATACTTGATGTGTCTTTAGTTACCTAAGCGATGCCGCTGCTGCTGCTGCTGCTGCTGCTGCCGTTGCCATTGGTTAGCCTTGATCTGTGAGTCGCCTGTAACTCAACTCAACTCAACTCAGCTCAGCTTTGTTCTGCCTGCTGCTCTCTCCTGCCGCGCTGGAGCCACTGCTGTACTTAGTTGTTAACTCATTAGGTTTCCGCTGATTTTTAAGCCGCTTATTGTATGAGCTCTGCAGCGCCAACCGCAGCAGCTTAGCCTAGCCAGCTGCATCTCTACTATGTGTGTATGTGAGTGTGAGTGTGTGTATGTGTGTGAGCTCTAATTACATTTTAAATGTTTCAAGCATGCTTCTAGCTGGTCTTGAGCTCTTTTAATTGACAAATGATTCGTTCAACTTTAACCTGAAGCTCACTCAATTAGCTGTGACTGCGACAAGTGCAATGCTTCGGTTGGCATTTGTTTTTAGCCACTGTGGCATTGCGTTAACTACTTTTTTATATGACCATCAATCTGTGGCCAAGTTTTGTGGGTGGCACCGGCGCCAGCAACAACAACAACAACAGCAACAACAATCGAGAACTTTTGTGCGCGAAGTCAAGTTGAAAATATATTGGAAAATGCAGTAGTAGTTTTTCCGAGCTTGGCCAAAAGTTTTCTTTCTATTTTTTTTTTGCACCCTGATGCGCGACTGGCTTTGCCTTTGCCTTTGCCTAAACTGACGTAAATTTATAATGACAAATTGCATTTGGCACGGAGGAAAAAAAGTGAGCTCTATGGCCAAAAGGAAATGGAAAATGGCGAAGATGGAGAGCTGCAGCCAATTGAGCGTGAAAAATTATGATGCACCACGGCAGTGAGAGAGGGAGAGTCGATGAGCGAAAAAAACGGCTTTCAACTTGGTCAAAAGACAATCACGGCGCTTAATTATGGGCTGAGTGTCAAGAGAGAATTGTGGTAAATCCGCTTAAGTTCAAATTAAACCCTGATGCAAATGTATTGTCTGACGACTAATTGAGCAGAGAAATAGAGGGAGAGTGAGAGGGAGGCAGTGGCAGATAGTGGGGGGAGAGATTATAGCTATACATGTGAGCATGTGGGATACGTGTAAGTGATTCAACAAGCTTAGATACAATTAGTGGGCAACTAAAACTAAATAGCTACAACGGCAACAACTGCAATTAGTGTAATTACATGCAGTTCATCAGAGTATTAGAAGCAAATCTGAGAGATTCGCAATGTCAGATATTTAACCACTGCATCACATTATTGGCCGAGCCAACGACAAGTCTGGCCACAGTCCAGCCGAACAGAGCCACAACTGAGCCTGGCAAACACCTCAAAATAACCTGGCTTCAAATTTCACTCAAAACATTTTGCGTTTTGTTGCTGTTGATGCTGATGTTTACTTTTATAGAGTATTTTGAGTTGCCTAGGCAATTGAATAAAGTGATATGAATCAGTCAGACAGTCAGTCAAATAACCTCATTGTCAGATCAGCTCTATCTAATCTGTAGCTGCCATAAAATGTTCCCTTTCTCAGTAGTTCTTCTATTCTATTCAAGGCAGAGGACTGCTATGATTTGGACAAAAAAATTTATATAAATGAGTTGAAAGGAGTTGAATGAATTTAGCTTACTCAATGTTGATCTTAATCCTTTCCCTTCTGCTTGCTGTCGCTCATTATGCAAATCAAAGCTAAGCAGATCAGCTGTCTATATTTTGTTACTGTAACTCCACTTTGAACTTCTAAATATATATACATATATAGCTACTCCTATCACATTTGCAAAACAAAGCCTTTGACTTCCAAATATTTCCCCCAGCTTGGCTTCACCCTAAGCAAATGCTTTCAAGTATCAGCTTATCATATCATATGACATTCATAGGAAGCAGCATTCCTTTGGGTAATCGTATGCAGCTCTAAGAGCATTTTCGGTTCGTCTTTTGAAACTGAAGTATTCTATTTTTATTGTTATTGCGTTTGGGCCGCCAACGGCGCTGGGTCATGGCAACATTTTGCCCAAATGGGCGTCACGCGATAAAGCAAAAAATGACACGTTTTTAATTTTACTTCACACCTACACAACAACAGCAACAACAGCAGCAACAGCGCCAACGACAACGACAACAACTTGACAACAGCAACAACTGAGCAACAACAAGGAGAGGCAGCCATGTAATCAAAACTGCAACAGAGCAACAGTCACAAGAACAACAACAACTGGTAACTGGTAACTGGCAACTGGCAACTGGCAACAATGCCGTGGGTGCCAACTATAAGAACGCAATGTATAAGGCGAGCAAGAGAAAAATTAGATTTATCACGAGTGGTTGCCGGAAAAATTGTCAACATTTATCAACATTTTTCAACGCGCGGCGACGTGTTTCGCCAGCAATGCAGCAACAGCAACAGCAACGGCAGCAGCAGCAGCAGCACCTCAAGAAAAAGAACAACAACTACAGCAACAGCAACAGCGAGAACAACAGCAACAATTGTAACGGTAACTAAGCTAAAGTATACCAACGTTTGGTCCAAGGGTCCACATAGCGCCAGTGTCCGGTCCAAGCAGCAGCCGGAGATGAAGACTGAGACGGAGATGGCGACGGTTGCGTTTGATTAATATCCAAAACCATGAAGCGCGCCAGCAGCAGGAAGCTGAGCTGGTCACCGGGAGCAACAGCAACTTGAACTGTAAGCCGCTTGCAAAGATTTTGTGGGCAGGCGGCTGATTGTGAAAAGTGGTCACGATGACGACCAAAAATTCACTCGCGAAAAATGAAAACAAAGTTCAGCAGAACAGAAGCAACAGCAACAACAACAACAGCAGCGGCAGCAACAACAACAACAACAATAACAGCAGCGACAGCAGCAGCAACAGCCGCAGAAATGCGTACAGCAGCGCTGGCCAAAAATGGTCGCCATTGCCCTATAGCCCCGCCTCTCCCACTTCAACCACCCCTCCCTTACCCACCTCGTGGTTGCGCTTCTGTCGCCCAGCGAAAGCAGCTTCAAAAGGAACTTTCACAGCTTGACAGGATGCGCGGGGCGGGGCTAGGTGAGATGAGTGTGGTTTATATGCTTTTGACTGCTTTATTTGATTTCCACAGTATACTCGGACAAAGGGGCGTGACAGCTGTTGGGGGCCGCAGGCTGGGTGGCTGGATTCGTCTGTGAAAATTGTAAAAAATTACTTGGGATTTTATGGGGCACTTCTTGTCTATTTAGGGGTCGAAATTGAGTTCTCAACTTGATTGGATACAACAATACGCGCAATAGCGGCCACAGCTACAACAGCAACAACAACAAGGCTGCAATTAATATTAGGCGAGAGATAGCCTCAAAGAGCAACAAGTGAGGGTGCTTAGTTGCTTAAGTGATGTGCTAACAGATACGCTGTTTAATTAACAGCAGTAAAATCTCTAAGACACTTCATTATTTTATAAGAATTGAGTATGACAAGCTGTTTAAGGTTTAACTATGAGCAACTGTTGTTCAGGCAACTCTGTTGCATAGAATTGAATACGTTCATTATAATTAATCTATTCTGTTGTTATGATAATAAATTTGAGTGGCATATACCTGCAATTATTCTAAGTGTTAAAGTTTTTGGACCTGCTTATCCTTTCTATGTATTCAGAGCAATTACTTTAGATTTATGCAGAGCTACCTTTAGAGTCATCATAATGCTTTGTAATGAAATACTCGTCATACAAAATTATACAGCTCTCTCTCATAAAATTTCCATACAGGGTATTAAACACCCTTTGTATGATCAACTGCTAGTAAGAGACCTTAAATTGACTTTAAAGATATTTTTCTGCTATAGCTTACCTATATAAGCCAAACAGATCTGGGATATTCAGATATGTCTTTCAAGATCCTTTTATCAATATTGCGAAAACACTTTGGCAAGCATTCAATGAATTCCATTTGTGATAATTCCCAGAGAAAATCTATACATATCTATGTACATTAAGGTCGTCTTGTATTTATGGGCCTTGGGCCTTGTTAATCTCAGCTATTTGTCAACAGTGTAAGCAGCCGGGTCGTCTCATTAAATTACTCAAAATATTAATGCAGCTGCTTCCAGGCTGACAAGCACCAGGCCGCTTACACACCTCCTTTGCCCCCTGCTCGGCGGGGCTGCGGGTCGGCTCCACATATAATCGCATTTTAAACTTTTTCAATAATAAACTTTTCTAAACGGATTTCCCGCTGGACGTTGCGCTTTAATAATTTTCTGTCATATCCTTTGCAGGCGGGCGAGCAGCAACACTTGATAGCCACGAACTCAAGCCGAGAGCTAGCCAGACAGAGTGAGAGAGAGAGAGAGAGTGAGAGAGTGAGAGTGAGCGAGACAAACTACATCAAAGCTATTAATTCAAATTGAGGATTATGAGCGCAGCGGCAACAGCAACAGCAGCAACAACTAGTAAAAGGTGAAGTTGCACAAACTCTGCTTAAACTCTGCTCCGAGCTGAAAGTTATCCAACTAACTCTTTGATATCTCTGCCCATTCTCGTTGCAGCCCACGCCAATGTATGACAAATCAAAGAAAACTTGGAGTCAGCGGCTCAAAATCAGCAGCGACAATAAGAACGCTTCTCTAGCCACAGCTGGCGGCATGCAGACCCTTCAGCTGCTGCACATGCAGCAGCAGCAGCAACAGCAGCAGCAGCAGTTGCAGCATCAGCAGCAGCAGCTGCAATACCATCATCAACAGCAGCAGCAGCAGCAGCAGCATCATCCCCATCATCATCTGGCATATCAGCTGCCGCCGCCGCCTGCTGCTCCGCCGCCTGGCTATGAGTTCCTGCCCAGCGCGCTCTCGCGCTCCATGAAGTACGCAGAGCCCTGGATCTATGGCACGGTGCGTGGCATACCCGCCCGCCCCTCCTACGGCTACGGGCACCCGCATGCAGCGGCTATCTTTGCGACGGATGGCGAGCCGGGCGGAGCGACGGCATTGGCCGTTGTGATCTGTTCGTGCGCAGAGTATCTGAACGGCACGAAACGTGATGTGAAGAAGGCGAGCGTGTGCAAGAAGTGCAAAGGTTCACGCCTGCCCCTGGCCACCATTAGTGGCGGCGGCACCGTGCGGCTGCCAGCGGCAGCTGCTGCCGTTCGCCGTCCGATGGCGGCGACAATGCGCGTGGTTAGCGCCACCAAAAAGTCACGTCCTACGATTCTGGATCCACAAAAGGATCCCTATGACCTGATGCGACGCACACGGCTGCTATCGCCGGAGCCCAGCGCCGCCGAGTCAAGCGCCAAGGAAGGCAAGTCACGTAGCCGCGAAACAACTGCCACAGCCACATCCCCAGCCACAGCCGCTGCCTCCTCCAACGGCAAGGCGGCAGCAACTGCCACGAGCATGCAGCGCGGACGCACCAGAACGCGGGCCCAGCTGCCCCTAGCTCGCACGTCGAAGAGCACGCCCACGGCTCCGCCAGATCCGGCCGATTGCTGGCTGGAGGAGGACAGCGAGGCGCTGCTGCAGAGCAGCGGGCTGCTCAGCAAGCGGCAGGCAGCCAGCAATTCGCGTCGCTCCATCTTGCGCTGCAATGTGAATCCCTACGAACTGATCTCAGTCGAAAGCCAAGCCAAGACCAAAAACAATGATGACTTTGATGTGGCCGATGCACAGCTGCACGAGGATGAACACGAGCAATGTCGCCAGCAGCAAAAGCAGCCACAGCAAAAGCAGCCGCAACAGCAACAGAAGCAGCAGCAGCCACAGCAGCAGCAGCAACAGCAGCAGCAGCAGCGCAGCAAGTTCTACAATAATAATGTGGCAGCAATTGCTGGTCAGCGCATTAGCCTGGGCGATAAGTCAAACGATGCTGGCGACTCCAGCGATGGCTATGAACGCATAATAATTGCCACAGAGCCAACGCCACCCGCAGCTGCAACAGTTGCCAGCAATCCAAGGCGTCCACCGCGCAACAAGAAGCCAGAGGAATCGCCTAATCTCGCACTCGTCGATGCACAGCCAGCGGCAACTGTTGCAGCTGCCGTTGCGGCTGACGATGATTCAAACAGCTCGGAGGCTTATACCGTGCTAACTGTGACGCCCACTTCGCCCGGCATCAAGTCCATACTGAAGCGGCCGACCACACTGGAGCTGAACGCTCCTTTGCTGTCGCCTGACACCGGCTTGACGCCTGCAACGGCGCCTGTGTTGACGCCCGCGGGCAAGTCACAGTTCTATATACCAACGCCAACGACGCCGGGGACAGCGACAGCAGGAGCGGGGGGAACTGCAACTGCCACGCCCACGCCAACGCCCACGTCTGCGTCGAGTACACGCAAAAAAGTGCAATTTATGGTTGAGGATAAAATCATAGACACGACTACGGATGCTGCAGCAGTCACGGCGACAACTGATGACAGCGAGAATTCCGTTGTTGTTGCTTCGGATGATGAGACAACGGCAGCAGCAGCAACAGCAGCAACACCAACAACAACAGCAAACTATGAGTACTACAATCGCAAGCGCAACGCAGCCACACAGCAGGCAGCAGCACAGCAGCAAGAGCAACAGCAACAACAGCAGCAACAGCAACTGACATTGTCTGCGCTTGAATCTGACATTGATGATGAGTATAACTTTACAGCTTCCGCTGAGCCAAAAGCAACAACTGCAACGCTGGCCACGCATATTACGCCAGATAGTTTGCATTATGAAGATGTGCTGCCGCCTGTGCATCAAATATTTGACAATAGTCGCCGCAGCAGCAACAGCAGCAACAGCAGCAGCAACAGCAACAGCAACAGCAACAACAACACTGATGCTTGCCAAGTAGCTGAAATTTTGCCAAACTCAACAACTGCTGCTGCAGCTCCTGATGGCTCCAAATTATTATTGTCGGCGTCAAGTCCGAGCCATGCTGGGTCAACAGCAACAGCAGCGACAGCAACAGCAACAGGAACGGCAACAACATCACCGCATGTCACTGCTGCAAATGTTGTTAGCGCTTTAGCAGCGGGTAAGTACAGGGACAACAGCAGCGAAATTCACTGCTGTTGCAGCTACTACTATACATACATACATATATATATACCACGCCCCCTTTTGCAGCCCTCTTAAGCGCCACCCCGCCCCACATTGGCCTTGTCAGGCAACGCGGCAACTTTTGCCTTTTGTTAGCTTTTAATTATGAGCAAAAATTTTGCGCGCTGCATCTAAAAGAATGCACTGTGAGCAGTTTTTCGTATACACTGCGATAGCGGGCATATTAGCTGCTCAACTAATTGAATTAGTAACTGATTGGAATATGTTAACTTTTTAAGTTTCTCAAGTCAAATTTTTAGTCAAGTCAGAAATAACTTCTGCACTCTTTCACTAATCATTTTACTTATATATATCCAGCTCTCATTTTCCCTACTCACTTCCATAGCTGAGCGACTTCAGCTTACTCTCACGCAGTGCCTTTCGCTAGTCTCTTTTGCCGCGCGTGTCATTCTTTCTCCTTCGCTCCCATTCGTCTATCGTGTGTCCACACTTGCCGCAGTGTTTGCCGTTGACTAAAAACGTTGCAATTGTTTGTTAATTGCTCATCAGCATGCGCTAGTGCTCTCTCATTTTACTTTTGTCCTCCCCTCATTCTCTCTCTGTCTCTGTCTCTCATTTTCTCTAGGTTTCCTTTTGGTGAAAATTACGTATACGCCAAGTAATCCTCCATAGAATGCATTTAAAATTTCTAATAACTATGAAATAGTTAAGCAAACAATTGCAACACCTAAACTGTCACGCACACATACTAAAGCGCACACACAGACTCACACTTGCACACACTGAGCCACTCACGAGTCAAGGCAATTGAATTGGCGACGTTTGAATGGAAGCTCTTGTTGTCGTTGACATTGGCGCACCTGCTGCAAGTTCACCGGGTTAACACTATAATCAAGCGCAGGGCCAGGCTAAATCCACAGTTGGTGACTGTTAAGGACTCCCTCCCCACACACACACACACACAGACACACATGCTGAGCTGCGAGCAGCTGGCAAAGTCAACTTGACATTTGCACCCACAAATGGCAAACCGACTGCGCGATAACTCCCCTAACTATAGGGGATATATATATATATATATGTATTTAGTTACACATATAGACTGTTTGAGAGTGGGCGTGGCCAGCGCCTGCACATGTTCAACTTTAACTTCATTCAAAGCAAATTAACAGAAGACACAAAAAGTTTTTATTCAATTAAATTTTGACTGCGGCAAATGTCGAACATGACAAAAAATAGACTTGAGCTGCGTATTGAGGTGGGTGGCTATTCTGGGCTACAAGCTAATAAATAATAGAGGAATTGACTGCCCTTAGAGAGTGAGAGAAAGAGAGAGAGGGGGCTAGAATGTAAGAGATAGAGCAACGAATGGAATATTAGACGCCTAAGTTGCATAGCGGATTTATCAGTTGAGTATAGCTAAGATATATATTAGGTAGATTATTAGAAGAGTGTTCTTAGAGCATTCTATTTACTCACTGTAGGGAATGTTGTTAGTAGTCTTTACCTGCTGTCGCTCTCTTTCTCTCCTCTGCATATCCAACCTAAGCTACATTTCCTCATAGATTGCCATGAAGAGTCTCTTTAATACTCTCTCAGTTATATTTTAGTTTTCTGCTCGCCTCTCTAGCACACTCCAATCTCAACTGCCTTGACCCTCACTCAAATTTCAATGCCTTTCACTCAACGTTTTTGATTCACTCTCCCTTTTAATAGAGAACAGCAAACAGGGTATTAAGCAGTCGGCTGCAGTTGAAGGCCTTTTGATGTAGCAGCTGCTGTAACTTTGGCATGCGTCTGTGTTGTGTAGCACAGTGTTATATGGCGCTGGCTGGCTGGCTGGCTGGCATGCCTAATGCCCTGCTATTTCAGCAATGCGGGCCACAAAGACAATGTCAACGCACAAACTGAGGCAAACTGAGGCAAACTAAGGCGCTGGCTGTGGAGCAGCCACAAATGCGATGGTCGCGACAACGGCGATGATGACGACGATGTTGATGTTGATGACGATGATAATGACTATGGTTGCCTATTACCAGCAACATGGCATGCACTTTATTCTATGGCATACACCTTCGCCTTCACACTGTCTTCAGCATATATGTGAGAGCCGTGGCGCCCACGTGTCTCTGGCAGACAATTACAAAGTTGCTCCTTTGGCTGGCTTTTGGCTGCAATTTGTTGCATTGTTTGTCGCCTGCCGTTTGGGCTAGAAGGGTAGCCAGGGGCAGGAGCTGAAGCTAGTGTCGCGTTCTGCGCCTCGGCCAAGAGTTAAGCACTTGGAACTTTTCAAACTATTTTTGATTTGATTTTTGAAATGAGTGCGCTTACATAGAGCCAGCCAGGCACGTTGTGCAGCTGCTTCTGCCCTGACTCTGTCTCTGCCTCTGCCTCTGCCCCTGCTGTCTCTCTTCCAGCTGAGTTGATTTATAGCGCACGTGTTGCATTTTGCCTGCCTGCGAATCAAAGTGAAAGGCATTAAAGTGATACGAGTCGAGGTCTGTCCCGTTCGCCCGGTGAAATTTGCATTTTTCTGTGTCACACGAATTCGCCAACGCGATTGCTCCCATCATATTTAATGTGCTCGCAGCCCCACAGTCCTCAGTCCACAGTCCACAGCCCCGCAGCGTGTTCCGAGCATTATTAATATTTCATATTTGTCTTTGATAAGCAGCAAAGTATCCCTCCACCACTCTCATTTGAATAAGCCTGCAAATTGAAATCATAGAAACGACCAACGAAAAGCCAAGTTGCTGTAGGAGCAAAGAGGTGTGGGCGTGACTGACTAACAGATAGCCTGTGGGCAGTCGCTAGCTGAGTCGCGGCCTCTATATGCATTACATTTCAAACTAACTTTCACTGTAGCTTAGCTGAAGAGTTAACGTAGAGAAAGGTATAGAAGGGAGAAAGAATATGGCTAGGAACTTTGCAGAACTTTAATTTATAGAAATAATATGAAATAAGAGAGGTAAGTGTGAAACTAATAGATAGCCTTTACGCAAGTTCTCCAGTTCGAAAAGTCTCTTAGTTGGACAGGCGAAGGTCCAGCACATAAGGAATGGAAAGCCTATTATTAATTGGATATATATTCCTATTGACCATTACATATTTTTACTGACATCTCTAAGCTCCTGAAAGAGCTACATCAATGTACACAGGCTTAATATGAGTGTGCTATGCCGATCTCTGCTGCAGTCTGATTCTCATTAAAAAATTAGCAAACTATTCTCAAAAGTAATTCAATTCTCCTTCTGCTAAACTCTCTGCCGAATTTAACTCCCACCCAATTGTACAGGGTATTCAAAAGTGTGCCACTCAGCTCTATCACCATAGTTTTCCTTTACATATATATATATTTTCATATATTCGCATGATTTATCAAACGTTTAATTTGCACCACAATGCATGAGCTCACAATTTGTTGGCTTTCAACAAAATGAACTATGTATATACATAAATAATTTATAGGATTTAGAAAGATATTTGCATGTCATAAATGTCATAGTTGTTGCCTAATTTAGTTTTATATTTCTAAAATATTTTAGTCCATTTAATCTGTTAAAGTTTTATTTTGAATTGTGAACAAATATATTTCGATTTCTAATGGATCAATTTTTAATTTAAATTCTCGCTTGCCGTAATAAATGAATGAAAAAATTGCGCATTTCGTAGCTTTGCGGCCCCGCCCCCAAACGACTTCTCCACGTTGCAAATGGCGTTGCTAATATTTCTTGTTTGCTCTCAAATGTTTTTTTTTTTTTGTGCTTTACTTTCATGCTCGATTCTCATTTTCATTTCCATTTTCATTTTCATTTGCGTTTAATGGGATTCGCTTTAAATTTCATCGCTCGTCAAATGAAGTGTGAATGAAAAATAAGTGGCGTGGCACACAACCGAAAAGCCCCAAACTAAAGAGATTTTTAATATGCGCGCCGCAAACGTAATTTAAAATGCCAAAAACAGCTAAAAATTGGACTCGGCTCAGTGTCATCTCCCCTTGCCCTGGCTAATGCAGAGCCCCCCTCTCCAGCCCACTCGCCTCCCTGCCAGCCCATGCTCGGGCTGTTCCGTTTATCCAAAGGGCGCAACAAAGTTACACTTTGCATTTTACATTCAGCATTCAACATTTTTATGGTTATTTCTCGCTTACGCTCATAACGGAAGTGGAGCCTCATGTCTTCATGTACTTTGCATATTTACACTAATAGAAAATGTGGTTGCCAATTGAAAAACAAAAACAAAAACTGAAGCAAAACAACAAGAAATGCGCGCAATGACGACGCGATGCTCTGTTCCTGAATGAAACGGAGCAAGTGGGAAAAATTAAAAACTGATATGGATATACCTAACTGAATGAATCAAGTTTGATTTGCAGAAGAGCAAGTGAGGGAAAGTGAAAGAATGATGTGGATATATGTATGGATGATGCAAGGAAATATGATGATAGGAATCGACTTTATATATAAGTTTTATTGAGAGGAGATGAGATGATCGAGTCCTAAGCTAGCTGATTCCTGGAATATGATGATAGGAATCTTTATACGACATTTACTTTATATATAAGTTTTATTGAGATGAGTCAAGTAAGATCCTAATGAGTACGTTAGTCCTAAGCTAGCTGATTCCTAGCCTGGCCTGACTCAATAGCTCGTGCTGAATAATTCTCAACTCATCTATAAAAACATAATACTTAAATATAAATTACTTTTTAACTAATCTCTAACAGCTTTGCGTGCTTGGCAGCAATTGAGCTCAGCAGTTATGATGCAGCTATATCTTTACTTCTCTAGATTCGATAAGAAAGCTAAGGTGCAGGCTACAACGGCCATATATACCCTTTTGGGCCGCACGAGCAGTGTATAACAAGGCGCATGGAAAACTTTGTCATGTCCTTGTTGCTGCTATTGTTGCTGCTGTTGCTGCTGTTGCTGCTGCTGTGTTGCTCCTATTTTATATGCTGCAATAAAAACTGTC